CGCCCTTTTTTCTCCAACCCTCTCCGTGTCACAATTCATCCCGACAAGACCCCCAATTGAATCAGGTCCTACTGTGTTTGGCATGTGACAGGCAAATTCCAAGATCTAATTTTAAGAATTTTTTTTATTTTTTTCTTCTAATTTAAACTTTAAAACAAACAACAAAACAAAAAGCTGCTAACAATATCCAGTGTATATATAAGAATACCTTATCCACAAACTTCTTTTGTTTTATTATCATCAAAATGTCAATACAAAACTTACACTACAATATATGACTACAGAAACCGAGAGCAAAGAAAAACATAACAAAAGCTAGCTATGGATATACAAAAAATCAAAAGAAGAATACATATGCATACTCATATTAGATCCTGAACTGCTAAATAGGCTTCCCAGACTCTGAAAACAAGAAACAAAACATCTATGAGCTACACAACTCAACATGCCACATTTAAACCTATCTAGATTTTCAAATCATTTCATTTATAGAATATGCAGCTGGATTTTAAAAGTTATTTCATAATAATCATTTCTTGAACAAAATCGGACTTGAAGTTATAAAAAACTTAACTAGCAGTATAGAGAAGTAAATAAACAAACAATTCATAGTTATAAGCAAAGTAACTAAATTCCTTCTTATAACTCTCAATGGCATCATCATAATAGAATGTGCATATAGCACTGCATCAAAATATAGCTTATAGCCACCATAACATGACTTACAGGCACCAGAACATGACCTATAGCTACCATAATATGGCTTATAGCCACCAAAACATACCTTACAGGTACTAGAATAACTTATTTCTTCTACACCAAATCTCCTCAGAACTTTTTATTTCAACCAATAAGGCACATAATGAATTACATTGTAGCAATTAAAGCATAAATAAACTCATTTCAAATTTTCAAAAATGTCATAATTGTAGGCAATAAAAATCCTACTAAGTAAAAATGCACTATTTTTGAATTTTAAAAAATTATCAAAGATTATACATAACATTATTTTAAAACGTTAATCGTACTACAACATTATTTTTTCAAGTTAGGATTATTTCCTATTCAATTAAAACAACATAATTCTCAAATTTTCTAGTGTAAAATTTTCAAGAAAATACCTAAATCTTCAAAACTAGTTCCTCTACAATATACAAAAAGTTACACAATAAAATTTTTGTGGATACAAATTTATTCTTGTTTTTTGGCGACAAAAATATAAATCTAATCAAAAAATTCGAGAAAACTCATTTTTTTTTAAAACTGAGATGGAAAAATGTCACCTACCTTGATCTAGACAATTTTAAGAACTGGGCCGCCATCAGAAAATGACCCGAAGCCGCTCAAATCGGATTTTCTCTATAGGATCCTGCCCTATCTCTCTCTAAGTTTGTTGCCTCAAATGAAATGAATTGAATGAATAGTAGTTTAAGATATTTTAAAATAATCAAATTTTCTCTGGTGTTGCAACGCCACATAGTGCTATCCACGCGCTCTTCAGAAAACCCACAGCATCGCCGCACCCACCACGGGCCAAATTAAATGTAGATTTTCTTGAGACACACATCGAGGCGCTGCCAAAATTAGCACCGCGATGGTCCAGGGGGAAATTTTCAAATTTCACAAACATGCAAACAAATCCTCAGGACCCACTCCAGAACACATGCAGGAGTTCAAAATGCAAAGATTCAAACAATAAGCTTCTTTGAATCGGACCAAACAGGTTGAACTGAATGTTAAATCTTGAGGTATCACACTTTGCCCACTGTAACCTTCAATTCTTCTTCCAGCAATCTTGAAGATTGTTGTCTTCTTCCAGCCAGCCACTTGAAGGCCGCTATTCCTTAGCCAGACAATCCAAATAGCTGTTGGTCCATTTCTTTCTGGTCAAAGAAAGCTACTATCCCCTTCTTCCTGGTCACGAAACCTACTGTACCCTTCTTCCTGGTCAAGAAAGCTGCAACATCCATCTCTGAATCATCTTTAGCCTTCAAGAAAACTTATCTTGACTAATTCTAGATTATTAGTCTTCTTCTCTTTGTTTTTATACACATTATTGGTGTAATTAAAACTTTCCATTACCAATTCTAGATTATTATCCTTCTTTCTTGGTTTTTGTACAGCTTAACAATGTTAGATTGAGAATGTCTGAATATCTACTCAATGTGATAAAGAAGATTGGGTAAATACTCAACGCCATTATATTTTATGCACCAGTGAATGGTAGATGATATCATCTCATGCTCATGTAGTCATGGCCTTCCAAGCAAATGCCTTGTAGGAAGTGTCAGAATATATCATGCGAAATGTGTCAAAAAGGGCAAAGTAATAGAGCCATGTGACATCTCATTTTTTTTCATTAAAGCCATGCAACATAAGGTTGTCAGAACATTAGATTCTATGTGCTCGATTATAGTGAGTCGAGTGTCTTCATGCTAATTAAATTCATAGACATGCCAGAATAAATAAAAATATGGTTCAGTTGATGGCCACGAACTTAGGCTGAGATATAAAGAGTGTGATTGTACTCTATAGCACCCAATGGAGGTTTTCATTGTAGAATGTAATGCATGAACCTCCTAAAAATAGTGAATTTTCTCATGAACTCCTCTGCAAAGTGAGTTAAATGGAACTCAGACTCCAGTAATAGCTTCGCTAAGATCTCCCATAGTAAAGGGATATAGCATCAATGCATCATACATACTAACATCGATGGTAGCTTTCATAGATGAGAAAGGACATTATAGTAAACAGCATATGGTGTAGACAAGCCCTTCTCCTATGCAGAAGAATATCGTCATCTTGGGTGATAATTTTCTAGCCCTTAACTTCATGGGTTTAACATTCAGTAGTGGCATGAATTTACCACTGAGCAATTGAAACTGTTCCACTTCTTCACACCCTACGGGTGTATCGTTAGAGGAAGAATTGTGGGCTAGAAGTCCGAAAATGGACCCTGTTGCAATCGTGTCTTCTATGTTCGCTATATCAGGAACAAGGCTTATTTTATCACCAGAATCATAAAATATACGAGACACATCATACTGTAAAAGAAGTGCAACCACATCTTTTCCAATAATTATCTCGTAAGCATCCATATAGCACACATTTTTAAAACTAAAACATCAATTATTTGATCGGAATAGAAACATCATGAGAAATAACTTTGACAAATACTATTTGTATTCCTATGTTCACCAGCAAGATATTCCTTAGGCATATCTATCTCTTCAACAAGAAACTTAAAATCTAGCCAATCTTTAAATACAAAGCAATCATCAATCATACAAACTAACTTCCTATGATACTAATAATAGTTAGGATCTAATTTATCTGATTGCTTTATTTTCTTGAGTGAGGATAACTCCATCTGCTTCATCAATTTTTTGAAAATCTAACCTACATAGACTCTTTCTCCTCTTGTGTAGAAAACTTTAAAGGTTGCCATGGAGGAGAGGGCTCAACTGTACCTATTATCCTTTTGGCCATTTTGGCAACTGAATATGCTACATGGTCCGCTTTTTCGGTTGGACGCTATTGAAAGGCCTTACCTTCCTAAATTTGTCTAAAGAACTGGAAGGTACATCAGTGCTAGACTGCTAGGTAATGCCAAATATGTCTCATCATCTTGTATACATGCTGTTTTGTTAAGAAGCTTTTCAAATGACTTGATAGAGGAGACTTTCAAGGCCCTTGATATGCTTAAGAAGAAGCCCTTCTGCATGCTGCACCTAAAGCAGAGGCTCGCACTTCATGTAAATCTCTGTTGATCAAGCCAACCAAGACTGTATAAATTGATCGAATGAATATTATGATCATAGAGAGATGCATCATTGAACAAAATGTGTGATCCAACAAAAATTTTGATCACATCATGGAGCACGAACAAGTGAAAATTGCAATCATAATCATGATGAGATGCATGATCAAACGAACATCATGAACACAACAAGATGCATGATTGAGTAAAGATTATGATCGCAATTAGATCTGCGATTAATCGAAGCAAGGGTATATGTGTGTGACTCGGATATGGTCCCAATCAAGAAGCTTGAGTTGAAATCGTCAAGTGTATAGGTACCACAATCGAAATAGAAAAGACTCAAAGCAAGCCAAAGTGTATGATGGTCGAGCTTAAGTACTACGAAAGCGAGGTCAAAAACCCTCTTGTTCTTTTTTTTTTTGTTCCAAAATTGATTAATTTGGCTAAATTTCAAATATATTATAAATTCTCTACCGTGCATCGTTATAGCCACATGCTCTACCTCTCATAGCCACCATCACTGTTTGTTGTTTGTTGTTGGACTCAACTACAGTTTTCATTTGCCGTTGGTCGCAACGGCCACCGCCAACCACTATCGTCAAGCGCCATCATCGGGCTTTACATTGAATTTATTTTACTTCAAACCAAACACAAAAAATAATCTCCAATATTTATCTTACACTCGCTCAAATAACTCTTAAACATTTAAAATACACTACATTTATTTTATATTATATTCATTTTACTCTGCATTCCTTAATCATCAAACCAAATAGTGCCATAGCCAACCATATAAATCATTAAAAGCTCAAAGTTTAGTATTCCTTATTTATCATATTTGCAAATCTTCCAGCTTCTTTGGGATTATTTTTCATTATCTCAATAGTATTTGAAACATGGTCATGAGCCAATTGCAAATCATGTTACTCCCACACATCAGTTTAGACCAGTAAATTCATCAACCAAGAACCTTTAACCAGTTTTAGTTAAAGATAATATATGAACTCAATGAACCTTAAGAAATGAGGTAATCATATGGGTTTTACATTGATGAGAAAATGTTCATAACTACTTGAAGCTTGTGTTCCCTTGTGCAAGTCAGCATTTTGGCCGTTCTTTTAAACATAACAATTTCACGAAATCTCAGAACTTTCTTAAATACAATATATAGCCAATAAAAGCAAGACAACAACAACTAAAAAAAACTTTTTCGTATTCAAAGGAAATCAGAACTTACAGAAAGGTCAAATTGTTGCGAGAGAACATCACTTCTACAACGATACACCAACGATGAACTTCCGGACTCTAAATTTATGAGAGACACTCCAAAATTGGTTCCTGCAACAAAAGAAAAGCTGATCAAAATTACTTTTAAGCCATAATTGCAAATATCTAGGCATCAACTGACATTATACCCACTAACTCATCAAAGTGGAAGGTCATAGCAAATTAGTTGCAATATTCACATTTCAAATTCAACTGGTATCCAATAGAATGATAAAATATGTCCATGTTTATACAATTATAACCAAATCACAGATGAGCATTTGTTTTAAACAACTGATTTTATCTTCCAAATAAATACACGAGTTGATAGGAGATAAGAGAACAAGACCTCATAATATTCATGTGCATAGTAGGATACACATCCTACCTTGAAAATCAGACGAAAAACATACATACTTTGATAGGATCCTCGATCCAAATTGACCAATTCGAGTTTGCTCCAGATCCCAAAAGAAAGAAGAAAAAAATTAGATACAAAAAAGGGGGAATTCATTTATCCGGTTCCCCTCATCCACTCCATTGGAGTATTCATAGGCTTAAGCTCATTGTTATACTAATTAACCTATTGTTAACTGCTAAACTAATCATAAATGAATTCACATCATACTTTTGAGTGCAAAAGTTCAACTATGAAATTATGAATTGAATATTGACGTACATGTACCATAGCATTTCTACATCAAATAAAACATGTTCATAATCAAGTAAATTACAATCAGAATAAATGTATTAGCTTTTTTTTTTTACTTTTTAACTTATATTTTTCATTGAATGGGCTTCAATCTTGTTGTATTCCTGGCTTTAGTTATACACATGTACCATCATAAAAAAATAAATACCAAAAAAGACATTGCTGTGAAAAGTCTAGTTAGTCTCCACATTTTCATTGAATTTAATTGCCCCATTATTTTCATTTGCATCGCAGACAATATTACCCCATACTCATAACAAGCATGCCCATGCCCTACTCAGAAAACTTGGAACTATTTCCCAATTTTGCATCACAGACAAACCTACAAGGCTTACCTTTCAAACATGCTACGACAAGCAAAAGAAGCGAGCAAATCAAACTCACAACATCAATAGGGAACACAATAGAGATTGAAAACTAACCAATTGCTGCTTTTGTACTGCAACAGCTGGTATCAGCAGTCCATATTGTACAATCACTTGATGAAACTTTGTTCATCCTTCTACTTAAGCCTGAAGAATTTTCACTAAAATTCAAAGGCTCTCTAAGGTTCAGAACATAAACAGATCCACCACTAACGCCTGAACCAAGAGTGGTCACCATGTAATCGATTGTTAAGTACTTCAATATTCAGCAAATTGGGGAAGCCTGACAAAATACACTGCTAGAGAAATGCATGCTTCTTCAGTGAGAGATGAAAAGCACGTATCCCAAATGACATAAAAAATAGAGCATTGGGAAAAATAATTAAACTAAAAGAGGAATAAAAAATAATATAGGATACAAGGCATGTTGAAAGTTTGAAAGATTATCAGTTGTATTTGGAGTATTTCTTCCAATCCTTTTAATACAAGATATGCTGGAAGACAGACTTGTAAATGCTGCTGAATTTGAAAAGATCCCAGGTGCACCATCATGAAAGTCTCTAGGAGAGGGCCAAACTGGTGCCGGCATGTAGTTGGGCCCATAATCACAGCGTTGTCGAACATTTTTTATTTCATACAGACTGAGAAATAATTATACAATACATATGTTTAGCTAATCTGAAAATGAACAGTTCAAAAGAACAAAATAGCGACAATTGCTAAGTGCAATCAAAATCACAGTCAATAAAGACTAGGAGAAGTCAGGCATTAAAACTCTCAAACCAACAGAAATTATGACATTACTGAGAATGTGCAGGTGTCATCATTTATTACTCTCTCAAAACTGAGTATACAAGTATCCCCCCCCTAGTAGATATTGACGCAACAAATACTTTTGACAACAAAATATGCCATAGCATAAAGAGAAGGCTAAAAAATCACAAGAGTTACAAAAAAAATAATATTTTCTATCTATTTTGCCCATGTAAGTTGAATTGTTCTGCAACTCTATTTGTGATGCATCCTTTTGTGTTTGATTGTAGTGGCGTGCTCAAAAGAAAAACCAACATAGAAAGAAAAAGAGGAAAAAATGTCCACCTACGGGGTAAGGAGAAAAGAAAAATCCGGTTTCAAACCCATCAGAAGCTTAAATAATTCAGCAAATACCAAGGACAGTCAGTTTGCATTCACAAACAAGTTGTATTTCGTACTGCAATGCTTTTCAAAACTTTGTCAGATGAAATTGCACATGCAGACCATCTATGGCGTCATGGCCATGGAGAACAGACTCATGGAGGAGCTCGTCCATCTCAAGTAGCAATGGTTTGGTCAAGTAAAGGTGTAGCATAGAACAACATAACATTACCTAATAAAGTTTTAGGTTAGCAGAATAAAGGAAAAATAATTGTGGGATAAAAGAAGGGTATATAGAAGAAATTATAAAAGAAATGAGTCAAAAAGGAGATCAACAAAATGATGATAATCATGCAAAGGGCATATGTTTAGCATAATTTGAAAAGTGAAGATGAAGGATATGACATGGAGTAGAGTGCAAAAACAGCACATAATAGCAAAATTGGTGATGTGATAAGAATGGATAGAAGAAATAGCTTAAAGGTCAATAAGAGGTAATGAGGAAACAAAGGTAAGGAAATGATCAACGACTAGTGTAGATAGATTAAAACCATAACAAGATCAATATCCATGATATCTTTTGATTGACTAAGTAAGATCTCTCAAAGATTTTTGGCTCTATGATGTTACATGTAATAGTAAAATTAAAAAGAGCTTATTTTCAAGTAGTTAAATTTCTATACAAAGACAACAAATTATAAAGCTGTATCATATCAATCTCATCATAGCCAATATTAAAGGTTTCTTCTCAAGCTAAACAAAAGATCAAGGAGCTTTCTTCTTCTTAGATGTCATTCTACAAGATCTATTGATGTTATAATAATAAATTTTTCTCCATAAAGTATTTCTATTAAACTATAACTAGCCTATATCAATTTTTCCTCGCACTGCATCAATTGATAGTAAAGCCTCAATTTTGAAGTTTGTGAATGGCCTACTAAATCAAAATTTTGATCAACCATTAAACTCAATTGCATGCAATAATTCAAATATTCATCAACACCAGCCTTACTCTATCACCTCTCATGAAAAAAAAAACTTAAAATCATTAAATTGTTCTGATTCATCTCCATCATAAAAAATAATAAAATAAAATACTATTAATCATCCCTCTCCACTAAAACTGAACCCCCATCATCATGCTGTGTTGGTTATAAATTACAATCACCAAAAATTGTACATTTAAATTACTTATATTTATTTTCATTGTCTCTTTCATAGTTGCTGAAATGTACTTCAAAATATTACTATCATGATAAGCATCTAGTCAAAGATGCCTGCATCTTTGCACCAATGCTGGTCAAGCTATTGGCGCCATCTTCTTGCTTGCTTGAGCGCTAAAGAAATATCTAAACAATAGGTCATGCCAGTTTCTACATAAATCGTTAAGGTCTGTGATGCACTACTAGTCAATGAAGTTCACTAATATCATTATGTACTATGATCCACCACCAACAAATGTTGGCCTCATCATCTTCTCATAGACAATTATTGAAATGCTCTGACGTTGAGTATCAAGTCTACCGCCATCCAGAAACACCAAATTCTATCATCATCTCTTCTGCATGTCACTTGATAATCTGCAGCCTCGGTTGGATTTGTCACTTGATTTTGCTCAAAACAGGAATCCAATGTACCATGGCCCATAAATAATCAAATGACAAGCCTGTAAAGAATTGTAAGGCTCATTATACGGTTCAATCCTTATCTAACTTGAGCTCCAGTCTATGCAACGACATTGGATGTGAGTGCATAGAATCCTACATCTAAAATTACTCACATAATTTAAAGGATTTCCTATTGCAAACGAATTTATTGAATTTAATTTATTTTCTAGGCTAAAATGTTTATTCTATTTACTATGTGACGAATTTAGTCTGATTGTAAAAAAAAATGTTTTATTTCATTTTATCATATCTATTTTTTCTTATCTTTTTGCATTATTTTTCAATTAAATATTAAAATCTCCAAATCACCACTGTGACACTCTCTGAGCATGCATCAAGTAAATTTTTCATAGGTTTTAACAATATGAGCTACTTTCTGATTGTGAAATAGTCCAATTTTCAGGTCAACAATTACATTTTCTTTATAATTGACAAAACCGAAAAACCTCACATAAATATATTATCAAGCCTTTTTCATATCCAAATTTTACAGCTAGATAATCACTGCACAACAATATCTTGGATAAATATGTGCAAAATTATGAAGAATTCCAAGTTAATCATAAACAAAAAATATCTGAGGTTTACATAAGTATATGCTAACAGAACCTTCAACCTAAATTAAAATTATGATAGCAAAGCCTAGCCAAATAAAACTTTATTGCTAACTACTTATAGAAATATAGTGTTAAATGATAGGAACTTACCAAGTTACCATAAATATTATTAGTGTTATTGCGCCTAACATGGTTCGTGGACAAAGTTAGCTTCATGATGATTATGAAAACCATTTTCAAAAATTAAAATATATCTGACACCACATACCACAAGAATATTATAGGGTTGCAACCTTTAAAGAAAACGAGTATTTTTCATTCATGAAAGGACCTTCTCTGCATTCAATCTCTAAAGCAGGATTGAAAGGCTCTAAAGCACCATCTGAGAAAGCAAAATAAAGCCAAGGAATTTAAAGTTTCATGAGTTGAGACCCAAATTTTGAAGAAGATCATAAAAAAACAAATTTAGAACAACTTCAGCATCTCGAGAAGAATTAAGATATAAAATTTTCATTAGTATACTTAGCCTAATAGATTTCCCAGCCTCTGATAGTAAAGCATCAGTTTCCATGTCAATTGAGACCAGCTGACACAATCCTTTAAATATAATAATCAAACAACTGTAAAACAGGATAATCATTACTTCTCCTCCATCCACGTAATACAGAACCCGATTTGGTTTCCAAAAAATATGCACACTTATTCAAAGTGAAGATTGCATACCGCAGCAGCACCATTTTAGCCTCCAATAATACTTACAGGACTGTTCACATTTGGAGTTATTGAGCAAAATCTATATATTACCACAACTGATCTCAATGAAGTATGAGTACAATAAGCTTCTGACTGCTTGAAGGTGTGCGCTCCTTTTTCACTTTCTCACAAACAATAATTGGAAGATTAATTTACTCAAATTGGAGAAACTGATGAAGATAGATCCAAACCACTTCAAAAAAGATCAATGATACTAGATTTCAGTTGATTAGTTGAGATTCTGTTAAGAAACCGAACCTTTCAAAAAAGGTAGACAGTACTGTTTTGTTGTGCCTTTCTTGTCTTTTTTGTTTCCTTGAACCTCAATTATTTTCATTGCAGCAATTAGGTGTATAAGCAGATACTTGAGAAACACTTTATTTCAGGGACATCTCATATCCAAATAAATAATATAAATGATCTTTAGTTGTGTTAACTCTAAATGTAAAAGGCTTTCTTCTTCCATGGAAAAGTAATTCCAAGAATCCAATCACTATAAGACTAATAGGCATTCCTCATAAAAGCAAATCCAAGAAAACATAACTATAGTACAAATCAATTTTTCATATTCCTCTCCTCATACTGCATTAGTAGTTGAATGTTCGAAATTGGTTAACATCAGAATCGCTAATAATTAAGCACTAAATGCATGTAAGTGTTTCTAATCCATCTGTTTATCACTTTATTGTTGTCCATGCTTTAGCAGCAGCAACAATGGAAGAGTTTCTAATCTGCGTTTTGATTGCAGAATTATAAGAAGCCAAAGGGGAAGTAGTTAGTTTAGATGAGGATATGCGCTGCTTGATACTGCAGTAGATGAAGAGATGGGTGGCTTTATAATGAAAGAATAAGTCAATTAGTTGCTATTTAAATATGAATAGGTCTAAAAAATGTATGGCAGCAAATGTTGTTAAGAAAATGAATGGTTGAAATCTTTTATTTACAAAGTTGTAAGCCCCTTTCAATAATAGTAGATAGGATTATTCTAATAAATTGCTACTAAAATTACTAGGATAATAATTATTAATACAAATTTTATAATAATACACATTATGTTCATTCAACCAACTCACATTAGTGTAACAATATTCTTTTACCAGAGAGCTTGAGCTCTTAAAGCACTTCAAACAACGACCCTGATAGTGATTTCACCATTCATTTGTTTTCCTCCACAGAACTATGCAGTACACCAACAAAAGAGTACAAAATACACAGCACAATACAACACGGCTAAATTTAATCTTAAAGAAATTCACAAAGATAATAAAAATAATAAATATTAAAGCTTAATGATAAAGAATTTTTTTTTCTTTTTTTTCTTTTTTTTATTTTTTTTTTAGCTTAATGCTAAAGAATGAACTCAAAAAACAATACTAAGAAACAGGTAAAAAAAAAGGCTCACCTTATCGAGGAATTAATACCACCCATTGCTAGAAGATGTGTTTCTTTTAAACCTTGCAATGTTTGAACAACTCCATGCATTTCTTCAAGTGCAGAATCAGAAACAAAGTTTGTGTTATGGTACTTCCATACCTATTATCAAATGGGATGTGCGAGTTTCCTTCAAATTTGAGAAACTAAATGAAAATAAATTTGACAAAATGCCAGATCAAATGAACATCGAAGTTCTTAAAGTTGCCGTGAATAGAACATTCTCAAAGCTTCAATATAGATATGAGATCAAAAAGAGGGGTGCTCTTGGCACAAAACAAGTACAGATATTGTAAAAAGAAAGATCTTAATTAGAAGCTCAGCAAAAAAGTGAGTGAAGGCATATCAAAGTGGGTTTTATACACAGAAGTGCACAATATAGAAGTACAAACTCAAAGATGAAAGGATACCTTATTTAATAATTTAAAACAGTAACGGAGTACATACCTCTGGATGAGAGGCGAGCAACTTCTGGTACTCTTCCTGAAAGCTATATAGACCTTTTCTAGAAATCAGAAGTCCACCATTTATCTCCCTAGATTGAAGCAACTTGGAAGATTCCATTAACTTTTTCCACCTTGCCGAATGCACATGATGTCTCTGTAAACCATAATAAATCTTCATAACAATTACATCTAAATACATGTATTAGAAAGTCATGTGAAACATAATCTCAATATTAATCAATTAATTCAATTAAACAATCATTTGCCACGAATGTCACCACAAACACTTAGAGCATAAGGAAAGATTAATTGACAAATACTACTCCATCAAGATGAGAATGAAAAGTGTAAGATTTTTATTAATACCAAAAAAACTCTAGTTTCACAAATATGGTCTTTCGCAATCACTCAAATAGAATAAATTTTGCCAGGATATCCTCATACGTTTTGATTCAAAATTGAGCTAATTTTATAGCATCTATCTACAGAATTATAGGATAGCCCACTCTCCCAAGATTTCATATAGTCATGTTGTTTCTTATACTTTTTTTTTGTCATTTTTATATTTATCAATGTCTAATAGTTTAATCGTATTTACTTTTTGCCTGCAGACATTAGAAATTGTTTTTCAAAGATTTTAAGAAATTCGATAGACATAACGAAAATCTCTTCCAGAGATTTTATCTCATACTTCTTATATTACAATTATAGTGCCAAATGTTTAATGGTCTAGTTATATTGCCTAATAGTTTATGTTTAATTATCTTTTAAATTCGATTGTATTGTCTAATTAATTAGTTATATTGAGGTATATCATGAGACGCGTTAAATCAATGACGTGTAATAAAATTAGCCTCATCTTGATTAAAAAAAAAGTTTTTGGATATCCTAACAAAAAATTTTTTTTTACTCAAATATATATGCTTGAGCTTTTATACAAGTACAAAAATGGAGTTCTTTGGAAAATATTCTAATTCCTCAATAAAAAAGCATAAGAATTCATTCATATAAAGAATATCAAGAATTAACCATAAAAGAAGTTTGGCCATTTCTAATGGTCACTCACTTCATGATCAGTTCTATGAGTTACACACAAAAGTTTTGGGAACATTTCAATTCAACCTACAAAATTTGACATTGACCTTTGGAAATATTTCAATTAAACAAGCTCAATTCTTAGTCTATAGAAATCTCTTTTCCCAGAAGGATGAAGAACGGAGTAAATAGAAAACTTTTGTTCAATATTCTATTTTGCTACAAGGTCAAATTTATATATGTTTCTTGTGCTAAGATTCAATGGCTTCCTTTAGATATGACCATTTAGTGCAACAAGCTTAAAATAGACTTTGAGCAAACAGCCCTTAAATATAGATCCACACAACTTATTTTTAGGCCCAACCCCAATACTTGAAACTTGACTTAGTCAACTCATACACCAAGTGATGGAAGTGGGTGGCATTTTGGTTAGTTAAGTTGCTAGCTTAGCTATGGATGTTTAGTTTGAGATGCATGGATATGTTCTAGATTTGGTGATGCAAAGGTGGAAGGCTTAGAGGGGTTTGGTAGAAGAAACACCAAGGCTACCTTAACTTGGGCTAGTTTGGACTAATTTGAAAGATTATTTTTAGGAAAAGAACTTTGGTGAAATAAAAGACTAAAACTTATGGTTGAAAGATAACTTATAATGTTAACTTATGATCTAGAGTATGTGGTACAGATTTATAGATTTTAAGGAGTATCTACATGTAGGAAATAAGTTTAGGCCTCAAATCTCCCTAGTTTGGCAAAGAGCTTCAAGGGAGAGATTGGGATGAATGTAAGAGTTTGGTTGCTAATTTGTTGGTCTTAGAGAATGCTTATGAACTGGAGTAAGATGTGTGAAAATTTTATAGCATGAGTTAGATAGGAGTGACAAACAAATTAAAAGAAATATAAAGATAAATATATAACTCACCAAACAAGGACAAAATACTTGAAGCCACCAAACACCAAGCAAATTAAAAACACTTATCCACCAAAATATTTCATTCATCACTAAAAATTACAAAACGTAGTAGCTCATATTTATAGGTATGGACTACCACATTTGGAGGAAAATAAAGAAGGGAAGAAGAGGTGATGGCCATCAATATCAATGAAGGAGTTCCAACTACGTTTTTTTTTTTAGCTTCCCCCATTCCTAAATATATGATGGCCGGTCATACATGCCCTTACATGTAAAAATAAAATACAAATTATATTTAAAATATTCTTAATTTTGGGCTTTTTATTGAGCTCTTGATTGGCCTACTATAGTTGGGCATTTTCTTTGAACTCTTCTTTAGGCTTTAGCTATGAATCTTATAATTAGAATTTTAACTAGATTTTCTTGATTACATAATGTGCTACATCACCTAGAGAATTTCAAGCTTTGGATATTCTTATCAACCCCGAGCTATGCATGGATTACAATAACCTCGTGCAATATTAGAAGCATCATTCTAACCATCCTTGTTTCAAAAAAGCAAACTTTACAAATGAGCAAAAATCTCTGTTGTAACTGTCATGCAAAACTTAAAAAGATTGGCCTTTGCAACAATAGCCTTAATTCCACGGACTTTTTATTACGAATTCTTCTTTAATTGCACAAATAAAGTAGGAGAAAAGAGGGGAAAAAAACTCTAGACATTTACCCTGCCCGAACCCGAGCGTTCCTCTGGTGGAGAAGAGATGGACGAGAAAGGGCGAGCGCGTTTCGATCCCGGAAGTGGACCTTTGATAGGAAAATATCGATTCTTGTCCGGGTCGAAATAGAAGCCAGGGAGATCTAATAAGAATGATTTCGATTCAGAATTGATACTGAATTAGAAAGAAGAAGAAAAAAATCAAAGACTATCAAACATACAAACCTTTTTGCGGTGCCATTGTTTCGTTTACTGAGAGAACGGAGACGTGGGAGAATCCCTAGCTTGTAGTTTGTAACATAACTCGTTAGAAAGGGGAAAAATCGAGGCGGCGCGCGGGGGGAGGGGGATACCAAAGCATTGAAGAACGATTATATAATGAACAGCTTTTGCGGTGCTTTGCTGCAGGCGGTAATATAAGTGTGTATAATAAAAAAATTAATTAATTTTTTATATATTACAGTCATAAGTAAATTCAATGTTTTGAAATTTTATTATCATTAAATTTTTATTAGCATATCTTAACAAATATTTTTTTTAAAAAAAAGGCACCACAATTGGAATGAAAATTGTTTATTCTTTCCCTTATTTCTAAATTACTTTCAAATTTTTATTTTAATAAAATAATAATTAAAGATTTAAACACTGTCATTGTCAGGTCCCAAGTCCTGGATGAGAAAAGTGGAGGGTTGCGTTACGTAGTCGACAGCCAGTGTAAAATTTGTCGAAAAAATCAGGACATGAATCCTTTAAAAAATTGTGTTCAAAGTGATGGTGAAAATTTATGGGAATATTATCAGCAAAATTCAAGTTGGATGGTTGAAGCGGAGGAATGCATCGGGCTTATTGTGCGATAGAAAAGTCCCCCTCAAACTTAAGGAAAAATTCTATAAGATGGTGGTGAGACCTACAATGCTTTATGGTGTCGAATGTTGACCATTAAAAGAGAAGCATAATACTAAGAAGTGTTGCAAAGATGAGGATGCATAGGTGGATGAGTGATTTGACCCTTAGAGATAGGATACAAAATGAGCATATAAGTGAAAAGGTTGGAGTAGCTCCAGTGGAAGATAAGATTAGAGAGAGTCGCCTTAGATAGCTTGGTCACATTAAACGAAGGCTTCCTGATGACTCAGTTAGGAAAGTTGATGTATTAGATTTGACTTATGCTAAGATAGGTAGAGGTAGACCTAAAAAGACTTGGTTAGAAAATACAGAGTCAAAATCGGAGTCCGTTTGGCAACTCAAATTGTGGTTTGAACCTTCCAACAGCGCTTTGAACACTTGATTTGGACTCATTTGGGCTCGGATTGGGTTGATCTTGGTGTCGTTGGGTTCGTATTTCCGAGACGCTCAGTTTGACTGTAAGCTCATTGAAATCGGAGTTCATATGCTCTCAAATTTAATTTTTAAAGTTTCCAAACTGATTTTGCCTTGAGATTCGTGCCCGATCAAGATAATTTTTGCATGACGTATCAACTATAATAGTATAAGTTGGCTCTAAATAACTAATATATAATTTTTTTTTGATAAAAACTTGTGACTAGTAAATATTACAAGAGGTGGTCCAATGAATATTCCTTCCATTCAAAAAAAGTACTACATGAACTAACAACACTTAAAATACATCAAATAGAATCAATGAATAATTCTATATTAACACTTAAGTATATTATAATAACAATTACTTAATAGATTAGTACAAACTCAATAGCCAACCTTTTATATCAAATACAATTAGAACAATCAACTTACAACTATGACAAAGCACTAGCTTGAGTTTAAATTAGCTGACGTACTACGAGCCCCATCAAATGATCAGAAGGTTAGTGTTTGAATTTTTTTATTATATAATTATGAATATAATCATTAAACATTCTGACAGCGACAATCTTATGTATAATATTTGAATAATATTAGAATGAGGTTTGAAACGGTCTCTCTATTCTTTGAAATTTTTATATACAAAATCATAATCGTATAAATAGGTCGAATTTAGAACCAATAATTATAAATGCAACAATAGAGATACTTTAGGAGGATAAATTTAGCGAATAATATGCCTCCATTAATTCATTAATGGAGGCAATTTTTGCATTAATTTTCTTTCTTCCTCGAGTATCTCTATTATTGCCGTTACATAGGCTTTTCATGACTTAAGTATATATGCATGGTTATATTTATGCATGTAAGAATTTTTAAGCACAGAAAGGTTGGTTCAAACCATGTTCACACAAGATAAGGGCCGGAACCCCCTTGAGCTCAAGGAAGACAAGAAAAAAAAAATATATATATATTATTATTGCTGGTTCAAACCTAATTTCGCATTTAATGGTTGAATCCTAGGATCAAAATAGATATTCAATATTTATTCGAACCATAATCAAACACCGAATATGCAATTTAAATATTAGTCGTTTTGAAATACATGATTCTCCTTCAACATCATTCGTTTTATAACCTAGATCAAAGACTACATTTAAATTTATATAAGTAACAAAATATGAAAACTAATCTATATTTGTTTGGAGGAGCTTACAATAAAGCTTGTGATAGATAAGTAATTATTGTGTCCGGACACCGAACGCGTCTAGAGATCAATAACAAAGTGCCACATCACTTGGATGCTCGGTACTGAGCACTTGGAATTGCTCGGTATTTGTCTGGGTTTCTGATTTTTTGTCCGGACGTAATAACTTTTCGTGATAGAGGGATCACTTAAAGGCAATGAAGGTGTTGCTTTGTAGAAGTTGATTATTGTTGGAAGAGAAATATTTCAGCAACTATATTGTTCAAGCATTCACAATATCACTAAAGCCTATTGCTTATATTTCCATCATAAAGATATATAAATAAAAAATTATCAAATAAGCATACAACAGATATATTTGGCCAACAATAAGAATTACAAAGCATGTAAAGCCAAATTTACCTTTTAAGAACAAGAAATTTATTTATTTTTTTACACTAAAAACAAAATTTAAAAAGTATTTTCACTAATTTAAAAAAAAAAATCAATTTGAGAAACAAGTTCTCTAATAATTTAAAAGTAGAAATGCTCAATAATACTTTCTTTCTTTATATAATGAAGGAATTACATACATAACATGCATAGAATTCTTATGTATTTACATATCAAACACCTAAATTTTATATTTGCTTATATAACATCATAATCTCTAAATCATATGGAAACATCTACATAAACAAAATTATTTCATTTTAGATAAGTTAGTACTAGTGCTATTTTTTATTTTATTTAGAATTTAAGGTGCCGTAAGATTTAAGTTTTAGACATATAAATAGATAAGTATTTTAGGGTACACATGTAAATCCCCTCATATTATTTAGTTGAACCTCATTTGGTAACATTAAATTCATTTAATTGCAAATTATACAAATTTGACATATTATAATTTTCATTTATAACCATGTAATAGAAAAAACTATATTACATTTTGCAAATTCTCCCTAACTTCACAATCATGAGAAAAGACAATCATCTCACATGTTTATCATTTATCTAACTTATTCATAACTTTCACATATGGGCTATCTCCACCAACAAATTAAGATTATTATTGTAATAAAAACATTATTAAATTTTGTTTTATTACAAAATACTTTCAATCCTAATTTTATGAAAAATCTTATATTAATTTATTTGAACTACACTCATGTTAAATTTTTTAGATTAATTTCTATTTTTTTATTATCCTGCTGCTTTCATTCGCCTAATATTACAACAACCACAATTTCATTCGCCTGCTACTTTCATGTTATTTTTTCACAGTTTTTTAGAAATTTCTGCCATGAAAAACTACTTTTTACAACTAGACTTGTTAAGTTATTTTCCGCGCAACAATTTCACGATAAACTTTATAAAAAATTACAACCATTTCAAACAAATCCTTAATGTTCGTTTAATTCAATCTAAATTTAAGTGCAGTTACAATATTTGTGTTTACTAATTTCACATTACACACTGAATATATTTCTATTTTCCAATCTCCGATTTCTCCCAATAAAATGTAAATACTCCTCCAAGGCTAGAAAATGCTGAAGCTGGCGATGTTCCTAACAACAGAACATACAACTTATAGTAGCAAGCTTCTGCTAGAACTATTTAGGCTGATGAATAAATAAACTACATACATATACAATATTGCAGCTTTGATGAAATCTATGCAGCTTCTCATATAAATGAAGGTTATTTAGTTCAAAATCACAAAAGACTTGTACCCAACATTGACATCTATATAGCCTACAATCACAAGCAACTATCTTCATTCTATAATCTTAGGCTTCGTTTGGGACAGCTTTTTTGCTCCTCTCTAAAACGATTTTTTAGTACAAAAATTTCTAATTTACAAAAATTTTGTACTAGAAAGCTGTTTTCGAAAACAACAAAAAAGCTGTCTCAAACGAAGTCTTATTCAACATACAAAACATATTATTCAAACATGACTTGATAACGGCAATTTATAAAAAATAAATATTTACAGTTAATTTAGTGGAGAAGGAAATTTTGTGCTGCGGGAGGAAACGATTACTGAAATTTAACCACTATGCAAGAGATGTCGTCCTTGCTCTTTCTTTTTAGAGCCTCCTCTGTCAGATGCTTGGCAGCAACTTGAGGCTCCTCAATGTCTCTAATGGCATCTACAACCTCCTGGTTTGACATAACCTGGACAAAAAATGAATCCATGAGCAGGTGGAGCATAGTTAATTCTTCATTTCTTATATGGAAGATGAGAACTTAACTGAGCCATTTACATGTAGAGTTACGTTCATTTGTATTGCTCTGTATTATTATGTACATATTTACATTATAATTACATTATAAACAAGTAACTTCAATCTTGATCAAAACTTCATAATTGAATTGGGGGGTAGACTCTGAGGAGAGTCATAGCTCAGTTTCTTCATTTTTGCATATTCTAGTATTCCCTAAGAATGGATATTTATAGAATTACAAGACCCATAAGAATCCATTAACCAACTATTAACCATCTTGTACCTACTATTAAACTATTCATAACATTTATTATCCTAACAATTTGATTTATATTATAAACCTTTTTTATAAGGAGCTTCATAGTTGATACGAAACGTTTTAGCTTATAAATTGTTCCTTATGTTATTTTATTTAGTTTGTTGTAAGTTTGTTTCATATTTTCTAGAATCGTTTAAGATTATCTGGGTTATCTCTATTTCAGCATTATATATATGTGGAATGTGTAAGAGGAATGGGACATTGATGAAAATATATTCTCTTTGAAGCTTTTAAAGCTTAGTTCTTGTCTTTGTTCCCTGGATCGAGGATTTCCTTCTTGTAGGTCTGATTCTTCCGACGATCACCACATCAATAGTACATTAAAACAAAAAGAAAAAAAACAGAAGCACACCTTCCACAATCCATCACTTGCTAAGACAAGAAACTCAGTTTTATCATCAATAATAACGTCCTTGACGTCTGGAACTGAACTGAGATGCACCTTCAAGCTACGATCTCCAAATGCCCTTGCTACAGCTAGCTGTCCATCAACACGAGGCACATCACCTGGATTATCAATACAATGTAGTTATATATATGTATGAGACATATTTGTCTAAAAAACAAAATTATGATGAGATGTCCCCTTTTTAATTTTTGATATGGTTGAGTACTTGAGTGTTAATAATGCTCAATGTTGATGATTGCCCGTGTTCAGTTCAGTATTGGCTTGATTTTGACTTGTTTGACAAGTAAAAGAGCAGAACTTGAATATGATTTTTTAGATCATTCACTAAATAAGCCAAACATGAATAAAAGCTAGCTCAATTATTCTCTCTCTCTCTCTCTCCCCCCCCTCATTGCCGTCGATCTCCGTGGTCGTCTCTGATAGACGTGCCGAAATCTCCTATCGATGACCTCATCACTACTACTTTAATATATATTAATATGAAAAGCCTTGATTTGGCAACTGGATCTATGATTGAAAAACAAGCTAAAATAAAACCATATTGACAAATGCCTCATGTAAATAACCATTAACTTGTCTTCATGCTTTCAACTTATCATTTGTGTTTGCATAGACTTATATCATGGACTTAACCTGCCAATTAGATGTTGTATGAATTAAAAGCACCCTTATTGTAAAGATGACTGGTTAAGGACTTAACTTAGTGTTCGTTTTCGACTAGATAATAAACGGTAAGAACATGAACAAAATTTTTGAAGATATTAAAGAGGCTATCGTTTGAATTTAGCTTCATAGTAAGCAAATCGAGACCGACAAGACCCAAGCTCATTAATGTTTATAGGTTGTTTACACCCTATATATTGTCCTCACGACCATACTAAACTTTGAAGGCAAAACTTATGTAGAAGAAGGCACAGCTTAAAAGAAGTCAGCAATTGAAGAAATTATCTTGTACCTGGAAGGTTGGAAACAAAACCTCCTTTCATCTCTATACATTTGCGCTCTTTGTTAGGTTCATGGTCAACCGAGAGTTGTTTAGCAAGGCCGTCCTTGCAAAGCACCGCACGAGAATCCCCGACATTGGCAACCACCAGCTTCAATCCATCTATTAGGATAGCAGTTACTGCAGTAGAGCCTCCTTTTCCCAGTTTGTTTGCCTTATTAAGAATCATACTGTCAGTAATTTCATATGCTTTCCTGATTGCCCCATCAGTGTCAGTCAAGAAGTTAGGCTGCTTGAATCATAGAACACAACATTTGTTACATGGGAAAAATGAAATATAACTAACATTTTTAAATTTAGGTATCATAAATTGAGAGAGAGAGAGAGAGAGAGAGAGAGAGAGAGAGAGAGAGTGAAGAACCCATCACCTGCTTTAGAATAGTGTCAAATAGATGTGATTGCAAATAGTCAGGTACATCATGGCCAAGGTGGCCATCAAATATCGCAAATAAACCCAACTCTGAATCACGGGCATGCTTAAACTGAGCTACCACATAATCCTCCATTGCGTGAAAGGTTTGACCTTTTACTAAGTGGTATCCATGGCTAATTCGCTTGCCATACATTTTTGTTTTGCCTTTTCCAGTATTTGATGTAGATGAACCAAACCCAGCTTTAACCTGCAGGATTTTTACCTTTTTTGTGTAACCATGATACTACTGAGAGGCATGCATGGTGGAATGACAAGTATCAACGAATTCTGAACAGCATAAACAATTTAAAAGCGTACCATTGAAGCCAAGAAAATCTAAATGGCCATGGCAATAAATAATTTAATTATTATTAAATAAGTGGTAAGATCTAAAGTTATAGTTCATTCAATCCTTAATAACATTGTACAGTTGTAAACTAAATATGTATTAATTACAATTATAGGAAAAGAGTGGCTTTCACTCAAAATAACAGTGGATTTTACGGGTTAGAACTCATTGGTAAGTCTGATAGAATATCTGCCAGTATTGTTATAGAAAGATTGACATTCTTGATGTATCATATAAGGGCATCTCCAACCTAAAATCCCATTTTTCACTCCAAAATGTATTTAAAATAAAAAATGCCGTGGTTCATCTCCAATCGAACTCCATTTTGTGTGCTTCTGCGAAGGTAACCATCATTCTCCTCTTTCGCGCACTTCTTAGACAAGTCTGGTTGAGGCAAAAAAATCGCATAGGTGAACAATGACACGCCAATATTGACAGCGCACTGTTCACCCTCCACCGATTAGCGATTTGTTTGCCATTCGAATGGAGCTAACCAGCTACACCTTAGTCGTTTGGACTTCGGCAGGAGATGCCCTAAGAAAATCCCCTTGAAGATCACAACATATGATTTTATGAATTTGAGGTAATATTTTGTAATTTTTATTCAAAAAAGCAATTAGTTTGAAATACTAACAAATTATTTTATGAAGCATTCTAGATTAATTCTTCTGCATATCATCATACTTTTGCATGTGTTGCATCACTCTTCCAAAACTTAAACATCCAAACAAGGAGAGAAAATCCAGGTCCTTAGGCAAAAACCAACCTTCATTCTTCCATCATATATTTCTAAGCTTTTCAAAACTTCAGAACCAAAAACAATAAATTCCTTCTCACACTTCAACCAAATTGCTCCAACAGATAAGCAAATCAAGAAAACAAAAGCAAATGGACATAGTTGAAAATTCACTGTTTCACCACACTCAGCAGCAAGAAAATTCCAACTTCGGACATTCGGAAAGCCCTACTCCAACAACAAAGGAAACTTGTGATTAACTAGAAGCAAATCTCTCACTTCTCAGACAAAATCTTCCTGAAATCACCACACTACGCGAAATGGAGAGAAATAAAAAACATACCTTTAATCGATCAGAGAGAGGGAAAAAGATTTGTTGTTAAGACCGTTAAGTAAAGAGACCGTACCTTCATCTTGTGCAGGATTTCCCTTCCCGTCATTCTTTTATTATCTGATTATTCGTCCGCTCTTCCTAAGTTCTTGTACCAAAACTTTTCTTCGGATTAAATCTGACTCTCCCTCTCTCCCTCTTTAATAAATCTCTTGCCCACGAAGCGTGGTCGGCGGCGGATTTCTCTAACAAGGAACACGAGGATCCCGGCTGGGATATTGCGCGGCCGGCTGTTGGACGGGCCTGCTTTCATGATTTTTTTTTTTTTGAAAAATTTACATACATGCCACTTTATTTCATGTTATTTACATATCTAATATCTAAAACATTATTATTACATGACTACCACCCAATATAATTTTAATATCAAATATATCACTCCTATAATTCATTTCTACCATTCATATCATCCTATAAATTTTAATATTTCATTTCATGCACCTAAATTTTAATATTTCATTTCATCCTATAAATTTTATTATTACATGACTACCACCCAATACAATTTTGATTATAATTTCATCTTCACTTATTTTATATTTAAGATAATTTTACATTTTTAAACTCAGATAAATTTTAATTATACATTAAATACTAATTGTAGAAACTCATCTACCGTGAAGATGAGCGCTTAGAGAAAGAAGATGAACAGTAACAAGAAGAAAGAAATATTATTTCGTGTTGTTGTTAATATAGAGATACAAGAGTTTAAATAGAGATAAAGAGAAGTACACGTGTCAACCTCTTGTAGGTTGACAAGAAGTGAAAATGAAAAGTAATTTTATGTTTTTATTTGGCTGTCTTAATATTCCCCCTCAAGCTAAGCATCTTGAGTGATGGTTAGCTTGGATCTTAAGAGCTGGAATCTGTTAGTAGCCAATGGTTTAGTTAGAATATCGGCGACCTGATCCACTGTACAGATGGGTAGTAGGCGAATTGTTCCTGTCTGGATGTGATCTCTCACGAACCGTTGATCTATCTCTATATGCTTTGTTCTTGCGTGAAATACAGGGTTGTTCGCCAGAGCAATAGTGGACGTGTTATCACAGAAGATGTCCACTGGAGAGTGGTGAGTGATGCGGAAGTCAAGCAGCAGGCGTTTAATCCAGATTGTGTCCACCGTTGCCGAAGCCAATGCTCTGTATTCGGATTCTGTTGATGACCTTGAAACCGTTGGCTGTTTCTTCACAGTCCAGGACACTAATGTGTCGCCGAAAAAGGTGCAGAAGCCGGACGTCAACTTGCGGGTGAGAGGATCTGATGCCCAATCCGCGTCAGAAAAAGTTCTAAGCGAAAGAGTTGAACGCGTGATAGGTAGACCGAAGGCTATGGTGCCTTTAATGTATCTGATCAATTTCTTTAACAGAAAGGTATGTTGAATCTCCGGTTTGTGCATGTGTTGAGAGAGCATATTAACGGCATATGCGATATCAGGACGCGTTAAAGTCAAGTATTGGAGAGATCCAATTAGTTGACGGTAGACCGGTGGAAAGAAGCAGGGTACCGCGTCAGAGGAGATGACTGGCATTTTATTTGTACATGGATTAGCTACCGAATTGCATTTTTGCAATTCGGTAATGTTTATAATAGATTGAGCATAAAACGATTGGGACATGAAAAACTTATCTGGATGAGTATCGATTCTGAGTCCGAGAAATTGATGAGCTGTTCCGAGATCCTTCATAGTGAACTGAGATTTGAGCTGATTTACAAGAGCTGTCATGGTTTTCGTATCATTACCCGTAAGCAGAATAAAGTCAATGTAGACTAATAGGTAGATTTGGATCCGATCGCGATGTAGAAGAAGCAGAGAGGGATCTGCTTGACTGTGAGTGAAACCGAGCTTGAGGAGATACGACGTAAACGTAGTATACCACTGCCGTGGCGCTTGCCGTAACCCGTAGATAGCCTTGCGGAGTCGACAGACATAATTCGGATAGGCAGAGTCTTCGAACCCTTTGGGCTGTGTCATGTATACAATTTCATTGATCTCCCCATGTAAAAACGCATTGGCAACGTCTAATTGGTGTACCGACCACTTGAAGAACAATGCGATAGTGAATAATACTCGAATGGTTGGTAGCTTAGCTACCGGACTAAAGGTATCTCGATAGTCTAAGCCATATTCTTGTTGGTTTCCTTGAGCAACAAGCCGAGCTTTGAACCTTGCAATGGAACCATCCGAGTTGAATTTTGTTTGATACGTCCATTTTGATCCAATTATGGAAGCATTTGCTGGCGGTGCAACGAGTTCCCATGTGCCCTGTTTGTGTAAAGCGAGAAATTCTTCTTCCATTGCCTTTCGCCATTCGACATGTTTGCTGGCTTCAGAAAAGGTTGTTGGATCAGTATATGGTTGAGTAGTATGAAGCAAATTTAGCTTGGTTATGGGTTTAAGGGATCCAGTTTTCAGCCTAGTGATCATATGATGTGTTGAGGCTTGAGCTGGAACCGGGTTTTGTTCTTGAACCCCACGCTCTTCAGGTGTTGACCGATCAAAGGGAGCTTGTTGGTCAAATTGGGCTTGTTGTGCCGGAGGAAGCTGCGAGGAGGAAGAATAAACAGTCGCCTTCGTAAATGGTAGAATTGAGGTTGGATGAAGTAAGGAAGGTGGAATGGTAGTTGGTGCTGAATTCCCTGCAGAAACTGCGGCTTTACAAGGAAAAATATTTTCATTAAAACGAACATGACGGGAAGTAATAACTGTTTTGTTGTCAGAATTTAAGCACCGATAACCTTTCATAGTATCAGAGTAACCTATAAATATACACCGAGCAGAGGTAGGAGAAAGTTTGTTACGCTGTGTCGGAGGAAGAAGAGGATAGCATTCACAACCGAAAGTACGCAAGTGTGCGTAAGACGGACAGATGCCAAACATGCGTTGGAGCGGAGTTAGTGTAGTAGGGTGGGAGGATGGTGTTCGATTTATTAAGTACGTTGCAGTAATAGCAGCATCGAGCCAGTGTGAATTCGGTAGTCCGGATTGCTGAAGAAGAGTACGAGTGATTGTAACAATATGACGGTGTTTTCTCTCGGCGGTTCCATTTTGTTCGGGTGTATAGGGGCAAGAGGTTTGATGAAGAATGCCTGCGGTAGAGGTAAAATTGCGAAAATCCCTGTTTAAGAATTCACCGCCACCGTCAGTTCGTATAACTTTTAATTTACGATCAGTTTGCCGTTCGATTTGATTGACAAACTGAATAAATGTTTTCGTTACATCCGATTTAAACATAATAGGAAATAGCCAAACATATTTAGAGAAATCATCAACGAAAATTAAGTAATACTGAAAGCCTTGATTAGAAGAAACGGGCGACGGCCCCCAGAGATCAGAATGTACTAATTGTAATGGTGCAATTGTTATACTAGTAGAGTTATCAAATGGTAATTTGTGGCCTTTACAGGCTAAACAAGAATTACAAAGAAATGTTGGAACATAAATTTTAAGAGCAGGATTAACAGATGAAATATGTTGTAGCGTCCGATTGTTCGGATGTCCTAATCGGGAGTGCCAATCTGGTTTGCGAGCTTTGTCAGCTGAGAACGCCTTGAGCTCCTGTGAAGAATGAGTAACAATTTTGTATAGACCATCCTTACACAGTCCGTGTAGGATAGGTTGGTTTGTCCTCCGATCCTTAAAAACAAATCCGTTAGCATCAAACGTGATGGAGATCGGATTATCCTTTACTAAATTTGAAATTGAAAGTAAATTATAAGATAGAGATGGAATGTGAAGGAGTTTAGATTGCAGTAGCTTACTAGATGGAGTTGGAAGGATACCCGTTCAAGCGTGAGCAATCGGAACGGACCTTCCATCCCCTATTGTTACCGTGTCGGAGCCATTGTATTCGTAGACATTATCAAGATTGCCTATCTTGTTTGTCATATGAGATGAAGCCCCGGAGTCAATATACCAATCCGTAGCAGAAGCACCATCTGTGTTGACAAGGAGAGCCGAGGCTTGTTTAGCAGATTGTTGAGTGGGTACATAATTTGGGTTTAGCCGATGCCAGCAAGCGTCTGCTTGGTGACCTTTCTTTTTGCAAATCTGACATATGACCCCAGTCGATTTGCTAGTCGAAGAGGTCATGTGAGTTCGGTCGGCTTCAAGATTTTGTCTGCCGCGACCACGACGACCACGGCCGCGGTAAGTAAACAGGGTGGCTTGATTATCCGGTGCCTTGGGAAATTTGAGTGCCGCGGATTTTAGATGAATCTCCTCGCTGATGAGAAGAGAATAAAGATTGTCCAGAGATAGAGACGATTGCATTGTTCGGATAGAAGTCGTAAAAGCATGATATTCCGCAGGAAGTCCATTTAAAATGTAGATTATCACGTCTTCGGGATCAATGGTAGATCCAGCGGAGGATATGTGATCAACGATCTTTTTGATCTCAGTGAGGTACTGAATCATTGTCATACCCTGCATCGAGACATTGTGAAGCTCATGCTTGAGCTGAATCACTTTGGAGCGGTTGGACGACTGGAACCGAGTATGAAGTGTACTCCATATGACAGAGGTGGATTCAAGATGAATCACATAAGGTAAAACTGCCGGCGATATCGTGGAACAAATTGCAGTAGCGAGATTTTGATCCAACGCAGCCCGTTCTTGAGGATCTTGATTGGGATCGGCGTTTTCATCAGTTGATTTCGGCTCAAGAAACTCAGCAAACCCATTTGCCTTGAATAGTTTGGCGATTTGGGTACTCCAGATAGGAAAATTTTCTGGAGTAAGAGCATGAGGAACCAGCAGCTTGAGGTTAGAGATTACGAATTTGAGCGACGGTGAGATCGCCAGAGTAGATTTTACTACTTCCGAAGTCTGTCGAGAAGAAGACGACGCGCAAGATTGATTTGCCATTGTCGTTCTTCAGAATCGGCACCCGTCTGATACCATGTAGAAACTCATCTACCGTGAAGATGAGCGCTTAGAGAAAGAAGATGAACATTAACAAGAAGAAAGAAATATTATTTCGTGTTGTTGTTAATACAGAGATACAAGAGTTTAAATAGAGATAAAGAGAAGTACACGTGTCAGCCTCTTGTAGGTTGACAAGAAGTGAAAATGAAAAGTAATTTTATGTTTTTATTTGGCTGTCTTAATACTAATAACGCAACTCAACTGCATTCATACGTTGACTAAAATATCGATATTTTCTTCATTTATTCATATATGAGAATTTCATAAAATATGTTTATCGAACCTTAGACTTTTTTCATGAAAAACATGCCTCAAAATTTCAATAAATATTATCTTTT